ACCACCAAGCGCTAACGCTCACGAATTGTTTCGTGGGTTTAGCTTCGTTGCACCGTGCCTTCTCGAGGATCATCTCAAAACACCTGAATATAAAAACTGTGATAGTCTCAGTGCAACTTTTCCAACTTACGTGAGCCCTATTTCCGTGACCGATGAATATGAATTTAAACAAGAAATCGGTAAAGGAAGCTACAGTACGGTCTATTTAGCTGTTCACAAAGTAACCAAGACAGAGTATGCTGTAAAGGTAATATTATCAATATTTGAATCGCGTTAAATCCAAGTCTATCATAGACTGACGATCGTTTTATGATAGATAATTGAGAAATCCAAAAGAGATCCAACCGAGGAAATTGAAATTTTACTTCGATATGGAAGACACCCGCATATTGTAACTTTGAGAGCTGTTCACGAGGATGACAAACGAGCTTATCTTGTGTTAGAGTTGTTACGAGGAGGAGAACTGCTCGATCGCTTATTGCAGAGACGTAGTTTAACAGAAAGAGAGGCAGCAGAAGTAATGTACACGATTGCCAGCGTGGTTCATTATTTGCATGAAAATGGGGTATCTACCAAACATTTCTTCATAATCATTCATTCAACTTAGCACACTCTAAATCTATTTTTTGCAATTAACAGGTCGTTCACCGGGATCTAAAGCCATCCAATATATTATACTCAAAGCCAGGAGCTGATCCAGCGACTCTTTCCCTATGCGATCTGGGTTTCGCGAAACAGTTACGAGCAGAAAATGGTTTACTAATGACGCCATGTTATACAGCAAATTTTGTAGCGCCTGAAGTGCTAAAACGTCAAGGATACGATGCTGCTTGCGATATTTGGTCCCTTGGTGTTTTACTATACATCATGTTAGCCGGGTAATTGAGCTATCAATAATGAAGAACATAAGAATATTAGATTCAACTCAAGATGAAGATAATTCAATACTGATTGGTCTATTTTTATCTTTTAGATACACTCCGTTTCGCAACAGTCCTGGAGACAGCGCAACTGATATACTAGATCGCATTGGTCCTGGCTACATCGACACTGAAAGCGGCATATGGTGTCAAATCTCCACCGAAGCTAAGGAACTAGTGAAGAGGATGTTACACGTAGATCCTAACCGAAGGCCTACCGCAGCTGCAGTATTAAAGTATTCGTGGATTGCCAATCGCCACAGACTTCCTCAGAAAGTATTACCATATAGCACTAGGGATCCACACAGCCTAAAAGTATGTTGCTCACGTCCAATTTAAGTGTTGTTTAGAAAGAAAGTGGCTCAGTATCTTACAACAAATTGTGTTTTCAGAGGGCAGTCGCGGAAACTTACAGAGCAATGTCTAGTAGTCCTAGATCACCACACATCGGCCCTGTCGTTATGTCTGAACTGGCTCGTCGAAGAACGCAAGCCAAACCGGCTGGCCCTACCGAAGTCTAAACCCGGTCTTCCGTTCTACGTTGGCGAAAAATGAGAGGATAATCGAATAAAGATTCAAGTTCAAACAAATCTGCCACGCACACGTGTACGTTACGCTAAAGTACAAGGGGAGGACGTTGAATGTCGCTACTACAACTATTATTCTTATTACAATTGCTACTTCTACTACTATTGTTATTGTAACATTTATCGAGTGTGAGTATCTATATCGAATCGATGAACATAATGTGATATTTATTTATACATATTTTTTTGTTATGTTAAACGTATATGCATGCATCGGTAAATGTGTGCATTGCCATATTGAGATCCGAAAACACTCTAACCTTAGCAACCAAAACGTAATAATTTAAAATGAAATATATATTGTACATTTTTAATTATCATTTAAATTACGTTTTTATCGTGCGAAGCGTCGACGAGCATTTACGATTTATATATACATATATAAATATGATCTACGTATACAAGAAAGACTATATTTTGTCAATATGAATCTAGTATTTCTCGTGCAATGTTCAAATGTAGCTATAGTACATACTAATTTTATAAGAATGCCGTTACTGATACGATTCAAATCACCAAATTTCTCTCTATTCTGGTTAAAAATTCATGTATGTGTATAGAATAGAAGAATCCACTTAAATTCATATTTTCGATTTTAATATAATATATGAAAGATGGGAGAAGATGATATCGGAGAATATTTTAAATCTATAATCTGTATTGTACATGATTATCATTAAAACTGATATAAATATATGTGAAAAATGATATTTCTACATGATACATGATACATTCTGGGCGAGGGGGGGGGGGGGGGAGTTGTAGTCTAGTTTTATCAAACTGACTCAAATATTTATGTTTTAAACTAATAATAATGACGAAAAATATTACTTTTTATTTTCCAATACTTTTCTTTTAAGGAGATTCAATTTTTCCACTTTTTAAAATTTTTTTATTTCAGAAGTTTCCACTTCTGGTATGTGTCTTCTGTTTCCACACTTGAATGGTATGTGTGTAATATTAAGTTTGGGGAATATCTTTTAACAAATTGCAGCATGATTGGATCAGCAATTTGTAAAAGAACTTTACTTATTGAAAATACAGGGTGATCCGCTCGGTAACAGACACAATGGATAACCACAACGATAGCCGACCGTCATTGTAGACTTTATGATGGTGGCCCCCACATCGAAAGTGCCACAAGTGTGTGCCAAGGGACGTTTCTGCTCGCCAAACTAACCGTCCTCAGTTACTCAATATTTTCTGTTTCACTTGCACCAAGGACCGAGCGATACGTCAGCGGCCCGCGTGAAAGTTTGAACGCGCAAAGGTTTGAAAACGCGCGACGTGCCCGCGCATACCTGCGGGATGTCACTTCACCGCTAGCCAGGTGGAAAAGGATAGGACGAAATATGAATTCTTCGCTAATAAAATCGATGATACGTCTAAAGTATACGCACATGTAGAACTGGAAACTGTTTATTTCGTATGTTTGAAGTTTCAGATTATGAAGGAGATTTTATATACCTGCAACTTTCAAACTAATGCGAATTTCAAGAATCTTCAAACATTGCATTTTTTCATTTATTTATATTGGTTACATTAAAATGTTTTTAAAAATAAGTCATACACAGTATTTTTTATTTTGGCTACAAGAAATTATTTTTCCCTTAAACTACTCAGTAGTATTTACAAATGCTTTTGAAGGACTTTAATTAAATAAAAAGAAATTCAAATTTCCCCCTATTTTAGGAGTATGGTCAGCGCCTCTATTGAGAAAACGCTCAAGTTTGTCGTGGATTGTTTCTTTTTTCACCGTTAGATGGCGTTATTTTTACTGTTTTTTACCGACACCTATCGGTATATTACCATAGTTAGGTAAACGCCATGTAAATTAACGCCATCTAGCGGTGAGAAAATGATTCATTGAGGACAAACTTGGGCGTTTTCCCGATAGAGGCGCTGACCATACTCCGAAAATTAGTTCGGTTTATTCGCCGCTAGATGGCTATTTAGTTCATCAAAAATAGCGGGAACCCACAAGAAAAACTGTGATAGTTTAAAAGTTAAAAGAATAAAGAAGGATAATATTTAATAAAATACAATGATAAAATACACTTCATTTTTCAATTGTTGCTTTTTCAACATTCATGGATCATAACCTATTTCGAATTTCACTTGTGTTGTAGTGGAATTGAAATTAGTATACAAATTATTGCGTAATTGTTTATGTAAGATGCGTTACAGTATCGACATTTTTTACAAGCTTACGACATATGCGATATTTATTCTAAGCTTATCAATATTGTTATCAATACTATATTCACGAGAATAGTATCCACTCGCGTGGAGAACATTAGATAGTTAAACATAATTATAACGGCTTAAAAATTGTTGCTTTTACCACGTAAAGGTCAGTTGCATTTCTTGTTAAACAGATGTGAAGAACAGAATTCGTTTATCCAAATATCAAATAATTTGTTCATACAATTAATGAATAAAATCATAATAAAAATTAAGGCACATGTGCTTGGATCTTGAATGCCAAGATCATAGAACATGTGTCTTTGCTTGGCCTGGTTCTTTCTTCTGTCTGAAACTTAAAATAAAGTAAATTCAGTCCACACAGTAACTCAATGATGACAAAATATCAAGTACTTATAATCGATGTACATTTTTAAAATTGGATATAATTAGTATCAATCACGTAACATGTAAGGTATTCTCGATGCGACGATGCGACGCGCAAGCGCTCTGTATTAGATGAAAACGTGGTAACTGTTTTATAGTTTATTAAACCGCGGATTTCCGTGCTTTCCTTTACACAAATACTCACGATAATTAGCTGTAGTTTCGCATTACTTATCTATTAATAATTTCCTGCAAAGGTGAGACGTTTCTTGGTATTCTAAAAGATGTTTGTTGGTCTAACGAAATGAGGAACGCGGAACAGAGAGAGCGAGAGAGAGGAAAAAAGAGGACATGGTATTGTCAGTGAAGTTAAATCATTTTTATCCACTGTAATCTTCTCTTCTTATACGTATTTAATATACTTTAACAGTGAAGTAACGTGTAAAGTGTGAGGTGGATTAAATTGAACGATTCAATCGTTTCGAGATTAGATAATTCACGAATATGCTTGTACTTTTCTAATTTGCGTTCGATTAATGTTTCCATAAGAGAACTCGCACGATTTGCGGTATGTTTTGCACCAGGAAATCAATATTTCGAAGACCCTGTAATCTTATTTCGTCCCATGGCTTGCAAGCATCTTGACACGTCGCGAAAAGTCGCTGGGGTTACGTGTTTCCTGATATTTGTTTAATATTTACGCGCCCATTTTTGCGCACGATTTTTCTGTAAATTATGATGTTTCCGGCGTTTTCTGTCAGCTGACCCTCGATTGTCCACGGTTTCGAGTAGAGTGGTTATCTGTACAAGCAAAATTTCAAATTGTGGTTCGAAAAATGATAATAGACATTTGCGTCTATACTTTCCCCACGTGTGGACGTCTTCACTTAAAGTTCTAGATAACGAGAACTTTTAAATGATAAGAAATAATTCTTTTGAGTATGGTTCCATTTTTGTTTTTTAGAACCTTTGCAATAGGTATGGAATGATTCGGTTGAAGTGAACTGAATTCTTATTTTATATTAATCTGTGTGTATTATAAATCCTTTGCAAATGGAGCTTGATTATATTAAACTTATCTTTTCACCATTTCTTATATGTATCTGTAAATTTATTACAAACTCATCACCATTGCATTAAAATAATATTTACGTACAATGCTTTCCTGCATTTCATTAATATTCATGCTTCAAAGTATCTATCTGCAAAGGGTTGACTTTCATAACAAACACATAAATCTATAACGATATCACTATTATTTTTAGGTGCTCGCAATATGCTTCAGAAAGGTCCTAGGCCATTAGTCTTATGCGGCCCATCTGGAAGTGGGAAGAGTACATTGATAAAACGTCTATTCGAAGAATTCCCAGATAAATTTGGATTCTCTGTTTCTCATACAACAAGAACACCTAGGCCTGGTGAGGAGGATGGGAAGCATTATTATTTCACAACTAAGGAGAAAATGCAGAAACAGATGGAGCAGGGTGAATTCCTTGAAACTGCTACCTTCAGTGGAAATTTATATGGCACTAGGTGACTGTTAATACTGTCGCTGTAATTTTTCAAGTTCTCAACCACATTAATTTTAACCACCCTTTTTTATATTTTCAGTAAATCCGCTGTGGAAGATGTACAGCGAGCGGGTAAAGTGTGCGTGCTAGATATTGAAATGCAAGGTGTAAAACAGATCAAGCAAAGTTCTCTTGATCCCTTGTATATATTTATTAAGCCACCATCCGTAGATGAATTAGAGAAAAGATTGAGGGATAGACAAACTGAAACAGAGGACTCCTTGCAGCGTAGATTATCTATTGCTAGAACAGAAATGGAATATGGTAGGCAATTAACATATTATTCATTAATGTTTCCTAAAACATTCTGAGAGATTTTTATATTTTACATGTAAATGTGTTGTATTTCAGGTGAAAGCCCTGGTAATTTTGATATAGTAATCGAAAATGATAATTTGTCTAAGGCATATGACAAGTTACGAGACTTTATACTCTCGAACTTGGAACAACAACGTAAAACAGGTGTGTAATATAATTGAAACATGTGTTCGTATGTTTACTCAATTTCCTGTTATTGTTTATATTTTTAATACTTTACAGAATGCTAAACCGATGCTTCCCAAGGATGTATATTTACTGGATATCATAGTATAATTATTTTTATATATCATTACGTGATTTATAGATAATAGGCAAACATGTGTCGAATTACTAGACTAAAGAATAAGCTTAGGCAAATAATTTTTTATACAGCAGTAAGTTGAGTTTATCATTGAAAGATGTTATAAAGAATCTTTCAGATTTTTGATGTGTGTAATAATATTACGAAAATTCAACTAACGATACTTAACTTTCAAGATACAAATGATAAATTGTTATAGTCTCGAATGAAATCACAAATAAGAAAACATAGAATTAGTACGTACGTAATTCGTTATAGACCAGTATTTCATCAGGATGGACGTATGCAAAATCATCTGTTTGCTACGCAACAGCAATCCTAACCTATTTATTGGTAGCCCGTATATTCATGTCTCTACTTTCATAAGTGTACAGTACAATTTTCACATTGCGATGAGCTGTGTATTCCTAAAAGTTAGGTTAGGATATGACTTTATATTTATATTAGTTTATTTTCTGTAAGGTAACTTAATATTACTTCGTTAAATCCAATATCTTTCATGCGATATGCTTGTTGAATGCCTTTAAAGAAAGAAATTATTTTTACATTTGCAACGTGGTAGGAAGCGTAAATTGTATCTGCCCTTGAAGAAGGCACTTTGTCGCGTAAGCATGAAAAACTTTAATACGATAAACAGTGTTAAATGGATAAATATTATATAGGACAGGTTGGGAGAAAAATGCCTCTAGAACTATGCGAAATGTGGCTCCTTTAATAGTCTTACTGTTCTTTAATAATTTTACTATCGTTTAGGTAGTTAGAAATGAAATTGTACGATTCACGGATCCTAGTTGCTAGTTTTTTTGTTTATTTCAAAGTAAACGAGTATTTGTATGTTGTACGAATATGCGATGGGTTATAAAAGAGCGTGAAATGATCTTTAGATGAAAGATATCTTTTGCCGAATGTATGCGGAGAACCGTCAATTCGTATGAAGACAGAACTAAGAACAGACTAGATATCCAAAAAAAAAAAAAAAATTGGAGAATTAAATATAATATTGTAGATGTAGCTAACTGAGACTATTCACCAAACGAAGTTGTGTTCCAATAGCGTAGGTTACTTATAAAGTACTTGTGGTTTTATCCTCGTACTTGTCTTTATATCAGCAGACATACCATTAATTACAGCATTCAGAGTCATTTCACGAGTTCATTTGCATCAGTATCATATTTATCATCGACGAGAAAGGAGAAAGTATCACGCTAACATTCCTTCATGAACATTCGCTTTCGATCAGAAGCGTTTCATGTATATTATTTATTCGAGACACTAGAGAAAATTGTGTTCAAAACTTGAAACGTATTCTTCGTGTTATCGTCGTTTCGTATGACATGTTTGTAGTGTGTTTACATTTTCAACGTTACCTTCATCGTTCTGTTTATCAAACACGAGCATGTTGTTGCTTCCACGACAAAAAATAAATATTTTCCTATACATGGTTACTACTTGTTAATGCATGTATGGTTAATTCATGTAACGATAACACGATATTTAAATAGACGAAGCGTAGCGACATATGTACACGTTGTTATAGAAAATTGTACTATTGTTGTAGCATACTGTATTGAATAAATATTTAAAACGGTACATCTCAACATACAATTAACTGCTTTGTCGTGGCAAAATTATTTCTGAATGTCTCGTGGCGTCTATAAATTCCAAATTTAATATACAGGGTGTAAAGAAAGAGTCTGAAAAGATTGAAAGAATTACCATTCTTTCTTTATAACACCAATTTTTAGTTATTCACGACTGATGACGTCGAGAATAATCACGTTTCGGCCAATCTCCATGATGATGACGAGTCTTGTGTTTAGGCACCTCGCTGACCTCGATGGACGCGACCTTCACGTCTTTGTCTTCGGAGATCTTCTTCATTTCCTCTTGGATAAGATTGTCCCCGTAATTTCTAGGCATAGACTCCTTTATCGGTTCCTTTATATCAGGCACGCTCTGGATTTTGTTTTCGGCGACTGGTTTCTTGGAGAAAATGTAATTGATCACCTGAGGCCGCGGTGCAAAAATATTCTCCGATGGATAAGGTTCAGCCATCGATCCAGAATCTCGTTGATCCTTCAACGAAGGTACATTCGTCTCGGTGGGTCCTCGAGTGCCTACAGTTTCCTGTTCAGGTTGATTCTGGTATCGAGTCGACCCCACAGCTCCCATGGAATCTTTATTAGCAAGGTCTCGCGTCGTCAACCTTCTCATCAAGTTCAAAATGCTTTCGTCGTCCAATCGAAGTCGACTGGTTAAGTCTGCAGGCTGCTCTCGAACCTCCTCGTACAACTCCTGCCTCGGATCGCGACCATTTTTCAAGGAGTCCAAGCCCTGGCCACGAACTGATCGCTCGATCTCGTACACTGGGTCAGGGACGACCATTTGTCGACGATACGAGGGATCCTGGTATTTAGCCCGATGCAAATAATTCTCGAGGGTGTTCCAATTCTCCAGGTCCCGGGAAATCGCTCTTCTGGCCAGGCTCGAGATCTCCTTGATGTCCAGCGATTGCTCGTTCGACCCTGGAGGGAAACGTTCGCCTTGAGGAAGACTTTGCCGGCTGTTCAGTTGGACGAAGTTGTTTGGGTACACCAGGCGTTGGGCAGGAACTTGGTAGGTCTTCTCCAGGACGGCTCCTCGGTCGAAGAAACGTTTCTCTTGATAATTGTCACGAGCCTCGTCGTTACTGTCCGGGTAGTAAGCTTCGTAGAAGACTGGGCCTCTGTCCAGGTCGTAGCTCTCGTAGCTGAGGAGAGGAATATTGAGATTAGGTCGTGATTAGCCTTTATTAACTTTTAATTGGTGCCTGAGACAAATGCTTCCGATATCTGGCTTCGTGACATGGAAAAAACTGAATGTCAAGCATGGCGTTTTGTCGCGTGTAACCATCAGTCTTTATTCTGTCAACTATTTTTGTACCATTAAAACAATTCTCTACATTAAAACAATTCTCTACATTAAAACAATTCTCTACATTAAAACAATTCTCTACAATTTCCCTTCAAGAAAAAGCTACCGTAGTACAGCTAATTTCTATCTAATTCTAACATGACGTCTGAAACAATGAAATTGGAGAAATACTTACCGATGAATTTCCGGATTCCACGCGAAAACCGACGATATTCCTGTCAATGGAGGAAAAGTAATTAATTGAGCGGTATTTTATTTGTTGCTGATTGGTGGCTCTCCAACACGAGGGCGGGCGAAGTGATTTCAAGTGGAATATACTCGAGCACGCTCGATTCGATCCAGATTAGTGGCAATTAAATGGAAATATTCAAACGGTTTTATTTGGAATTTATTCCTCTTCGTTCGGTTTGCACGCCAGTAACATTTCCTGACGTGATAAACGTTTCAAAGAGGTACCAAAGTATTTGTTCTACGGGACAGCAGTTTTCATTCGGATTCTACCGTGTCAAACGCGATCGTTTAAAGCCGCAAACGGTATTAAATTGATCAATTTCCTTGTTTTATTAAGTAATTCAGAGTGACCAAAACGCGACCGATATCTACAGTTTTATTTTAAAGGGCGTTTCAGAGTTTTATTTTAAATGTCCACTATGATAAGTGTGAGTTGGGTACGTACCTAATGAAATCGTTATCGCTATCGTCGGTAGCAGGTATTCTTTAAGAGCCATGATCCTATCTCGTAGCAACGACAACTGAGCTTCTGCGAGGGTCGTGTGCGCGTATTTTCAGATGTCCCTAAAATAAACCACCATTTCCTACGGGCCTCGCTGACTAACTCTCGCGTAGAAATCTGCGCTGGAAAACCTGTAATTGCACACCACGAATTTCTATCTCCTTCTAAACGATACCGCCAGTCATGATTAGTCAGGCTTGTCTGCACGATTCTCAACCCGATGGAGTACCGAATATTTAATACTGTTGATGTACGTACTGCCTACGCGGAAATACTGTCTGAGTAGGTTTGGGGTAGTTTTTGGTGGGGGGCGCCAATATCGAATATTGTTAATGTAAAATAAGGGATCTGGTGGTATCTGTTACATTTTTATTTATTTTCTACTCATTCTATGACTCTCTATTCTCGATCTAACAGACTACTCGGAATCTGTTACATTTTTACTTATTTTCCACTCGTTCTATGACTCTCTATTCTCGATCTAACAGACTACTCGGAATCTGTTACATTTTTACTTATTTTCTACTCATTCTATGACTCTCTATTCTCGATCTAACAGACTACTCGGAATCTGTTACATTTTTATTTATTTTCGACTCGCTCGTTTTTTCCTCTTTTATGTCGCTGTTATTTGCTGGCCAGCAAGTTAAATTTGACACTTTCAGCGGAGAATAAAGTTGCACGCCACGGCACGTGTCCACAAACGCGAAAAATGATTCGCGACGAATGTCCACCGTGATCGGGCAAAAATTTTCTACATCCAGCTGCGGTCGTCGAGTCAAACAGAATACGTGATATTTTACCATCCAGTGCAGGGGTATTAATCGATATTTCCGTTTCAGGAAGTATCTCGGTAGTTATTCCGACAACGAAATTCGGCGAGTAACTTGGAACTAGAATAATTAGCGATAACAATATTAAATGAATTAAGACGTACAGTTGATTATATACGATCGATACATCGAAATCGAAGTACCGAGCAAGTCCTTTCGTTTGTTAAGTAATCGTCACATTTTCCATTCCGGACAGTCGTTGCTAATAACGTTGCTAATAATAAATATTAATTTAACGATGTTAAAAAAAAAGTTACAGGATTAGGAGACACATGACTTTGTAGACTCGAAGAAAATATAAAATCTATTTTAATTTATCGTACCGAATATTTGTCGTCCCTAGACTGCGGATCTTTACGCATTTATATGAAATTTTAATGTGATTGAAAAAGATTGAAAGTAAAGTTCGTGTTATAATATTTGCGAAATAAAATAAATTCCTATTTAGGTACAATTTTTATAGGGACGTTCGCGATGATTTTATTTTGCATATAGATCCGCAGTCTACTAATAACCATATTCAACGACGTTATGAAAAAAAAAGTTACAGTGTCAGGAAACACGTGACTTTATAGACTCGAGGAAAATATAAAATCTATTTTAATTTATCGTGCCGAATATTTATTGTCACCTTTAATTAAAAATTGATTTACGAGAGCGATACCTTGCTGGAGGTATCGCGTATTTCTAGTAAAATCAACTTTCTTTCCATTTTCCCGAAACATGGTCAGCCTTTCTCGTTGGAGTCTACGATAATGGACGACGGTAATACCGTTCCAAGAACGGTGGCGCAGACTTGCACGTCGTTCGATTGGAATGGCTGGAATCCGTGTTTAGAGTGTCGTGGACCCCGTGTACCTTCACCTTTATCTTCCCTGTCCTTTATCTTCAATCGAAATATTTTTCGAACGGTTTTATCCACGGAGGCATTCACGGTAACAGTGACCAATGGTCCTTTTGTAGAATATTTGATAGATGATGGTAGGATGAAACGAATTCAAGTCAAGTCACGCGGAACAGTAGGGTCAATGGTGTAACGTTCGACTGGTTCGATATCTCATTTACTGAAAATTACTTACAGTGACGAGGAAAAATGTAAACACTACTCCGCTGATTTTATGTGAAAGTTATAATACGAGTAATTTTTCAAGTAAGAATTAGGTAACAGTAACTTCAAGCTGCATCTGATTAACGAAATGTAATGGTTTACTTTCGTTAATATTCATATTGTGCAGAAAAATTGTGCTTTGTGCTTTGAAAAATTGTAATTTATTACACTACGTCGGAAACTTACTCAGGAGCTAACAAAATTAAAGAAACAAATTCCAGAAGTACTCATAATAGGAATTCACTGTACTACTTAGCATAGCTAAATTTAATTTAGAATATATTCATTTCCCTAACAAAGTTTTATTCGCCGCTCTACAAGTTCAAACTTTGGATATGAATTTACAAGCACGTGCTAGCAACGCACTAACGATTCGTTTAACGAGAATGATAACTAACAAAGTTTCATATATGAAATTCGTGACTCTGCTGAAATGAATTTGCATGACGAAGGGAACACGTTCGAATGTATTACGCAATAAAATTGAAACTAAACTAAATCGTATTAATTAGATTTACATAGCAACACACTAACGATTTGTTTAATGAAAATGATAACTGACAAAATTTCGTGTATGAAATTCGTGACTCTGTTGAAATGAATTTGCATGCCGAAGGGAACACGTTCCAATGTGTTACGCGATAAAATTGATTGTTTAAAACTGAACTAAATCGTATTAATTAGATTTACATTGTTGAGAAATTCGTTTCTCGATTCGTCAACGTCGGCGTCGCTCAGAGCCTGGTCGACGAACGCACAATTCACTCTGTCTCGCGAAATTGATTTTTCTCGCGTTCCTTAATTCTAAATACAGGGTGGTCTACGATACACGGTACAGTATCAGCATGAATAAACGTTCCCTGTGAAATTTAAATAATTTAAGGGTGTACACTGCTATAGAATGGATTGCATTTGTAAGTTATGTCGTTTATCGCGCAGCAGTGAATTATCATTTATTCGAAATGGTAGGAAACGTGTTCCAAGTCGTTTCTGGACACCCTATGAAACGCGAGAGCTCTTCTTTCTAAAAATTTATACAGACTACTGTTTAACGAACCAGTAAACTTCCCTCGTAAAAAGATCTAGCGATAAACAGCTGTCGCGTTCTCAAACAAAGGAATTTCACGTGACAGAATAGAAAAAGACGTATAACTAATTTGAGCTCATTCGAGTCATCTCTTATAAGTCCTCGAATAAAACGCACAGAAACAAACACATAGAATCCATTAGACAGCGTAGACAAAACATTTGACGAAATCTATAATACATTCCTATCTAATACATTTAAACCAGGAGCCATTGCTTGTATATCGCCCAGAATCTCCAAAATCTAAAATTGCGTCAGGAACAAATCTCGTAAAGGTTTCACGGTGGCAATAAAATATTCTATTTTACGTCGCGTATCCCTTATATCCGTTTCGATTTCGTCGAGGAAATACACTTCAAGGGTACGAGGTAAGCCGCCGGCTCTCAGGTCCATCCACCCCTTTCTACGTTGCGGACTCCTGGCTACACGGACCCATCCCGAAAAGCACGAGAATCCTCGACGAGAAGTCCAGCAGACTGACGAAAAGCAGTAAAATCCCGAACGAGTGCTGCACGTCCTGCGAACACCACCAAAAGATCCTCCATCGAGTAAAGGAAATGTCTTACGTCGAAACGGTCACCACTTTATAGCTCGCCACTCTTGTACTTTCTTCACGGGTTCTCGATGGCTCCTCGCTCTAAACCCTTTTCATCCAAGATTCGATGCTAGTCGCAGGGACGTCAAGTACAGTTGCCCAAAAAGTTTCTCTCGTTTTATCAATAATTAATTCCTACACAATATTTTATGTTTTATGTTACATTACAAAATTGCGTACAATTCATTTCGCCCCATTACTGTCACGACATTAACATCTAAGAGATTAGGTTGTCTATTTATATAAACACTGCCACACGAAATAACTGAATGCAAGTCACGAAAGAAACTTTTGGGACAACCTAATATAAGGATTTAAAGACTGTGAATTTTTTCTCTTTACGAATCCCATAATCCAATAGTCCATTGTGTCTATTAGCGAGCGGATTAGCCAACCTCCTCCTCAACGTTTCCTCCTGGTCACATACACCTCGCCAAGGAAGATGAAAGTGGAAACGAGCAGACCAACGAACAGCAGTAGAAACGTCAGGGAGTAATGGTCCAGAGTGAGCTTGATGGCTGTATCGTCCCTCCTCAGACTCCTCATCTTGACGATCGTTAAGGGATACGTTATATTCTCGAACCAGACCGAGAACAGGCCAGCCTCCTTCAGTCTCAGCAGAACAAAGTTCACCCTCTCCATGTAGGGCGATTGGGACCTCAGCACGTACGACACTCGATAGTTCATGGGGCACTCGTCCACCACGTGGAGCAACGGATTGCCGTCCTTGTCGTGGAACGCGTAGTTTCCTAGCACCATCGAGAAGTACCGCGTGATGGCGATCATGTTCTCGTAAGCCACCATGTATTTGGTCGATTTAGTCTCGTTCACCACTCGGATCTTCCGCAGAAGCGCCCTGTCTACGGGCATGTCGTCCTGGAAGACGTTCTTCAGGTTCGCGTATTTAGTGAACAGGATCTTGCCGGAGTCGACCACGTCTTCCAGGGTGTTCAACTGGGGATAGTGGAAAGGTTTGCTGAGACTGGACACCAGACTGCTTTGATAGACTCCGTTCACGATGAGACCGAAGAACAGGGTGCCTATTAGCAGAGCCCTTTGCGCGGGACTGTCTCCGTTTTGGAGGGGATAGCAGAAGAGTTCTACGAAGTCGAAGAACAGGGACACGTAGCGAGGGATTTGTGGGGGTTGAAGAGGTTCTGTTGGAGGGTTAAAGTGACCTTTTCTCAGTTGATTTGTCCAGGAACCTTTGCACTCTAATTGCTCCAAAGGTTTAGTCTCTTTGTCACTCGACGACAAGGCTCCTGAAAGATACGAAGCTTCATTCTCCAATTGCTTTCGAGATCTAGTCATGCCTTCTTTCTTCGGACTGTCGCTCTCAAAACGAGTAGGTTGAATCGATCGACGTTTAAACGCCAGGTTGAGGTACTTCATGAAGCACCACAGCAACGTAATTCCCACGTTATATATCGCTAGGAGTGCCCACAAGTTCTTCTCGAAGGGTAAGAAGGGCATGTAAGCTTTGGGTACCAACCCCGAGTCCGGCGCCAGGAAGCACAGTTTGTCCTCGTAGACGGCAGCGGTGAACCGGAAGTTAGGATGCAGAGGATAAGCCTTGACGAAGAACCCAGTGATGACCATCTCGGCTCTACCGCTCTCGATGTCCCTTAATGACAGATCAAAGGGGTCCACGATCCGTCTGAATTCGGCGGTTCTCATTACTTTCATGTGGAACTTGGATTTCGTGGCTCCTTCTAGAGAGTAGAGCACCTCGGCGTCCACCTTTCTCAATCTTAGTCCCGTTTTATCGTCGTATGCGATGTCCATTAGCAAGGATTTGAACACAACCACTTCCAGAGGATAATTGTTCATGTCGTGGAAAATCTCGAACAATCGCGTGGTTTCGTTCAGAAGCAGGACCTTGTCGACGTTGTTCAACTCTGTCGAGTACCTCGAAGTGTCATCGTCGTAAGTTTCTGGGGAACTCTGCTTGGTCTCGTTCAGGAATTCAACTTGTGCGTTCTTCGACTCCGCCAGGTGCCGCGAACTACTATCATCGTAATACTCGAAGAACTTCGGAACAGTAACATTGTTCGTCAAGCACAGCTTGTGTACACCTCCAAACTCGTTATCGTGAACTTCGAAGGGCGCATACCTCACTAAACAATCGAAATTGTCTTCCGTAGAAACAATCACTGCCCTATAGACGCTGTACTTGTTCCACAGATTCCTGAAGATGTCCCGCCAAGCCACGGTAGTCGTCCTACCGTTGAAAAAGATCAGATATTGGTTGCTGGACTGCCACAGCTTCGGCTGCCAGTAGATGAAGATATTCAGAGAGAATACGTCCTTGACGAAGAAGACCCATGTGAGATGCGACCTCTCCATCCACGTGGCCTCGAGGGACAGGTCTCTAGCTCTTATTTTGTAGACCAAGATGGGATTCTCCGCGGAGTATCTCAAGAGAACGTCAACTTCATTCGATCGAAACTCCGGCAGGATTATGGAGAGCGTTAGAGGACGAAACTCAGGGGAGTCAAGAAGGAAAGCCAGCAGGAGATTCAAATTCTGACTTTTTTGGCTAGACAGAGATGCTTGGTGTAGATACTTGGTCTCTGTGGACGAGTAGAGTTCGTTGTAAGTTGTACCAGTCCCTGACGATGTTGAGAATGTTGTTAAAACCACGGCGCAAAGGCTCAAGTGTATAGACAAGTAAACCATGTCTGTTAATTCCTTTTGTATCCAGGATTCTTCAACTCGAAAGTTGGAATTGGTTCGACCGAAGAAAAGACATCCAGTCGAAGATGTCGCAATCGATGATCCTGCACAATGCTGATGCTTCTTCTCTGGAGTGAAATACAAGTTTAAAGACCATCAAAGGCTGCAGCTGTCGCGTTTCCATCGACTTCCGAGCCAAAGCAAAGACGAGACGAGGACGACGCTTAAATATTCACGCAGCTGTTCGCGGGAAAGCTATAAACGTAAAAAGGTCAAGAGATTAGAATTCACGACGGAGGAGCTGCGACTCTGGGTACCCGATTTCCTCGCGAAACGTTTCGGTAAATGTCTGCGCCAGTGATTCTTAATCCTTTTACTAGTAGCGTGTCAAAGCTGCGACGTTGACGTTTTATAAGTTTCGAAGCGGAATGGTAATTTCCATCGATATTTCTTGTATCTGTGGTGGCACCTCCTGTCCTCGCCACTAAAACGATATATTCTACCATTCATACACATATAAGCCATTTCCGACCGATTTCCAAACATCCTGGGGTCTAAAAGGACTCGTTTTGGTAAATACAGATCACTCTAATCCAACTATACGAAGCTTATAAGTAACTATAAATTATACGCACTAGTCAAGATCATCCGAATCGATCTATTCATACTGAAAATAAGGGGTCCTGGGAAAATATTTGAGCTCCACGCTCTATAATGTAAAAACATTTACTTCTTAGATTTACTTCATACTAAAAATAATAAGAAACCATTCAGCAAATATCTATAAATCTTCAAAGAACTCAATGAATAGACATTCTCTATATCTCGATCCATTTTACTTTAACAAAACAATATCCCACAATATCCACATAATCCAACAATATTCCACTGATTTATCACTATAATAGAAAAACACTCAACAAAAAAAAAAAAAAATAGAATATAACAGAAATATTAAACGACGATAACCTAAGATTTATGTACAGACTTTCCTCATTGGACACTAACGATAAACATAGATTAAATATAGACAAATGTTGGTGGCTAGGCTAAACACAAAAGTAAACGAATATTATTCAAAACTGTTAGTTCGTAGGATGTTTAAGAATAAGGTGTACAATTATAATTAACTATGTAGATAATATAGAAATAAATAGTTCGGGAATAAGCATTAAGATTACAGAATAGATTAAAGCATCAAAGTCCGGAACTTTTTAACCTGATTTAATATAGACAATATAGATTACACCAAAGCATTAAGAAGTAACGATACCAAAAATTTATTTGTTACAGGATGAAACCTGGGTTTATTCTAGGTGTCTCTAGCAGGCCCAGGACGAAACACTCCCTTCCTTTTTTCACCGCCGCCACATATCTAAGTAAATGAAGAGCACTCCACTGATACTGCTCCACTGTCACACTACTGTTGAGTAGCGTTGATTTTCTTCATCGACGATCGTTCCGAACTGCGCTACGAGTTAAAAATGTTAAGAACCACTGGCCTCTAGGTCGACGCCGAGGAAAGAAGCTTTCAAACCGCGGAACTGTCGTAAATCAGGTTGTTCGACGCAGCAGCGGGCAATAAAGGCAGGAAGTTTGCGAAACGATGACATTTTTCCGCGAAACTGAGACGGAAAAACGGATAAGCGGAAGTTATAGGGCAATTTCCCTCGAAATTTTGTTAGTCACGCACTCGATCAGCCAGTGCGAACGTGCCGCGTAGTCCTCACGCGAATCTTGCTTCTATCTTCTCCGAAAAATCACGCGAAACCTCTTTAGAACAGAATTTAAAAGTATATCGAACGAATAACAATTTAATTCCACTCTATCGAATCCACTGGAAGGCGATTAAAGAAGTTAATTTTTCGATTCAAGTTCTCTAAACGTTTTACCTCCGATGTTTAGTTCAGCTTATGTATTTTTTATCTCTGCTTAAAACAAGTTCGGTAAATGAAAATTCTACTACGACTATCGCCGTTCTGTAGTCCTGCCCCGTACTTTTTCTTATCGTACCGGGGAGGAAACGCCCCGGAGCGTGCAAATAACAATTTGTCTTCGCGAAACATGCGAGGATAGATGACGAAGCCCAACGGTAACGCAGCCATGATCGCGTCGCGAGGCATGACGGTACACAACACGACGAGAATAACGAAGGACGATGAGAAGGCAGGGAAGAAACGAAGCAAAACATAATGGAAACCTCTCGAATGGAAACGAATATTTATAAGGGAAGCTCTCTAGAAGCCATGGAAATGAAAATTTTGTGGAAGGTTAAATAAATGCAAATCTGATTCGCAATTTCAGCACTTCATGCACTTGGATTCCGTGCTCGAAATAAAAATCATACAACGATAAATCAATTTCTGTAAAAAAAGATATGTAACCGCGCTAAAAAGTACGAAATAATTTCTAGTTAATTTATGTGAATACTCCCAGCTCTGGATATAATCGTTTAAAGGTACGGGACTTTTCAGTGAATTTTTCTATGCTTTTAAAGGGGGAGTCTGGTCCGGCTAATGTATTTTTCTAATGCGTATAATTTTCAGATACAATTAATTTTTGTTATTGAAACTTTTTCTTACATATAAAGGGACGTT